CTAGGATTGTTGATGACGGATGTTTTTATAGCTGTTCTCATGTGTAATGGAATCTCATGCTAAGTAATGTTGAAATGTTAAATCAAGTGAAAAACAAGAATACAGGTTAATTGATATGACTATAAACTAGTGTCTGAGCGCGGTCATAGCAAAACACAACACCATTTCTTGGAACTTCTGACTTAGTCTGACTTATGGGGAGAAATGTGGGTGTAATTCTCTAAATGTTGAGAGCTAGTAATTATTAACTTTTGGCTTGAAATCGTTTCTTGTGACCAAGGTGTACTCACACTTAATTATTTTCAAAATTCTTTATCTTTTATCTGTATTCACTTGTTTTTTTATCACACATGCTTTCTCACTTTGATCTCTTTATGCTTTTATTTCTTCCATCTTTGTGTGCTCTTTATGCATGCGATCTCTACTCGGTCCTGTTGTGGTCTACTCATGTCAAATTGAAATAGGTTTTCCTACTTTCATGGATGTTCAAATGATTATTGTTTTATGCAATCTATCTTTCTTTGCATGATTCAGGAACATATAGTTTTACACAGTATAGGATTTCTGATTGGCATATTTCTAGTGTAATTAGTGTAATGACAAAAATTTTTTTCGTTATTGTGCTCTTTAGGATTGTCGTGTAGTTTATTACCAATGGGATAATATAGCCCAACCTACTGTTATGCGAAATATTCACCATGGACAAAATGTTTGGTGTTGCAGTGTATGGAGTGCAGAAACTGATGATGGAAGTAAATCGGTTTTGCTAGTAAGTTCTCTACTAAAGTAATTCAAACAATTAAATAAGTTTGATATTTTTCCAGGTAGTTCAGATCGTAGTAAGACTACTTGAAGTAAAGTTTACCGTGAACTCGTAATGACTACCTCAAATGTAATGCCAAGCTTTCTAGTGTTAAAAGTGTTAACGAAAGCTTCTTTCCTGATTTCAATACAAATGACGTTCTAAAATGTCTTCAGTCGATGAACTCTTCTTGTAGCCTGTGTTTAGATGGTATGCCTAGCGTTATTCGCAAAAAGTGTGCAGATATCCTATTTTATCCTCTCACTGACATATTTAATAAATCTATTTCCAGAAATGTCTTGCCGGCCGTTTGGAAGGACATCAATATTGTAACTATACCTAAGTCATCTACGGGAATATGTATTAAATTTAAACCTATTGCTATTACCTCTCCTTTTCTAAAAGCTATGGAAAAGTTACTCTTACATAATCTTCAGCCTTCGCTTAAAGCCTTAAACGGTCCCAAACAATTCGCCTATAAACATAGTAGAAGTACTTAAGATGCATCTGAAGTCTTGCATCATAACATTGTCTCCAGTTTAGAAAAAGGGGCTAAATTTGTTCGCTGCACCTCCCTAGATTACACATCTGCTTTCGACTCAGTACCTAGGGATATCCTGTTAAATAAGCTTGCTGAAACTCAAACTGAGTGTTGGGTTTTCAACTGGCTGCATTCTTATTCCTCAGAAAGAAAGCAGTACACTGTATGTCAGGGAAAGTTGTCCACTTCATTGCTTACTGAGGCTGGTGTACCTCAAGGTGCTGTCCTTTATCCTTTTTCTGCTTTCTTTCTTCTCGCATAACTTGCCTCACTCTGATTAAATGAACTTTGTTAAGTATGCCAATGATCTAACTATTTCAATGTCTGTTACTGCCAGCTAAACTGTACGAAGATAAAGAGCTTTCTATCAGCATTTAGCAAATGGTCTTAAACTAAATCCTTCCAAATGTCAGACTGTTAATTTCAGTTTCCGATGTAAAAGAAAGTTAAATGAAGGTGTTAATTCCTATTACCGCTGTAGAGTTGATGATAGTGACATAGAAATCAAATCTGACGTTAATTATCTTGGATTAGTTCTTTCTTCTGATCTCTCCTGGTCTTCCCATGTCTTAGCGATTTCTAAAAAAAATATTTCGTCTCACCTTGTACATTAAGAAGTTAAGGCACTTAGGCATAACTCAACCTCTCCTCTTACTGTTTGTCGACTCGTGCATCTTAGCTGTTCTTCTTTACTATTCACCCTTGTTCTTTCCTGGATTGCTTGAAAAAGACTATGTCATTCTTCGTAGAACTCTGAAGACTGAGTGTCAGTAGGGCGAGTGGCAGCTGTCCCATTGGGCCATATAGTTGACATCGTCATTGATAGGCAGTTGATTTCATGCAACATATTTGCTAAAGGAATTTTGTCAGACTGTGAACATCAACTTTGCCCACAGCTTTCACCTTGTCTCTTCAGCTGAAATAAGAAGTCATTTCAATAGACTTTATGCACGTACGTCTAAGTATAAAAATTCCACGACACTATATTCGGTATGTATTTTATGTGATGAAAATAGTGTCAGGGATGAACTAACTATCCTTCTTTGCACTAGTAAAAAAAAAACAATTTTTTCTATCCTTATTCCGCTAAGCTTTATTGTTATTGTTATTCTTATTATCTATAATCCTCTCAATTTTTGTTGTTGTTCATTTTCTCATGAATGTAAACATCACTTAAGCTATGTAATAACTGTTATTTGTTGTCTTTTCTGTCACCATGCTATATCAACAGAACATTAGATTCTGTAATCTATAACATACTAAAATTTCCAAACTGAATCGACAATACTGTTTGAAACCAACCCACTGTTATTATTACATTTATTATTCTCATTTTGTAATTCGAATATTTTTGACTTTATACCGTAGATGTGGACAAATGCCTGTGATTAATTTTATTTATATTTTGAGTAAATCAGATGCAATATTGTGACAAATGCTGAGAATTCCATTCTGTATTATAGGTACTATTTTTGGAATAAAGTACATTATTATTATTATCATTATTATTTAAACCTGACCTAACAATTATTAGTGAATTTTCGACAGTGATTTTTAGAAAGCGTAGGTTTCATTATAGTTCTAGTGTTATAACTTCAACTGTTCTCATATATTAGTTGTGTTTTTTAAGCATTACAAATATCATAAGGCTTCAGCCAGTGTACTGGGCAACTCAGTCATTGAGGTTGCTAATTCTCACTGACGGAAACAAATGAAGTGTATGTTATTTATGTCACTCCATCGCGTACTCTAATATCACCAGGGACAGATTAAAAGGGGCTTCAGAGTAGTTACATGAGGCCTTGACACCGATTTATGAAGTTAGTTATAGTCAATATAACCCAAAGACTGACTATTTTTCAGGATGAGACGACCAAAACTTGTATCATCCCATGAACTCTTTGACAATTGGTTTGAACCGGCCACGTAGGGAGGTGTAGACTGTTTGGTTGAGGTCCTCGAGATACTAAGAAGCAATGGCTTGAGACTGTCAGTGATGTGACTCAAAACGTTGTCAGTATTGCAGATTCATTCACTTTTTGTGATGTCACATACTCACTAGACCGTCATGTTTTCCTATGTTACTATTCTTTTCCGCTCACTTATCTGTTTATTATAGTTCTTTTGAATATTTTTTCGCTACACGAACTGTGGCAACTTGAACTGGTGCATTTCTGTGTGCAAAGTTCCTTATTGAAACTCAACTGACTCAGTCAGAATAAGATGGAAGTCTATTACTCGAATATAAATTAGCTAAACGTATCTAGATTTCATCTTCAAATGTGGAGAATTGTACTAATCCATTTTCATAACTTTTTGTGTACTTCTTTTTTTACTACTGTAGAGGTTGCTTCAGTACACTCACCTTCCAAGTGGTTGATATGTTTTGTGTTATAAATCTCCTTCTTGTGTTTTGATTCTTTTCTGTATGTTTTTTTATTTTCAGGCTACTGGTGCAAATGATGGCGGAGTGTGTGTACGTGAACTGACCAATCATTTTCACCATCCTAATAATAATAATATCAGTGAATGTGTAATTCTATCGTGTTATGAGTCTACATCGGATAAAAATACAGAACTCACAGTGAATTCATTCAATACAGAGTCATCGTGTCCCTCAGTTTCTCAAAAGGTGATTATTCGCGTTCAGGTTATTTATCTTCTTTAGTAGATATTTTATTTCTTGTATACATTCAGTAGTTGTGCAATGATTATTAGTTGTCGAGAGTTAGTTTTTAGGAATCTGATTTGTTTCAATGTCAATCTCGGATTGATATCAGTTAGAGGAATCATGAACAGTAATGAACAGCTGTTTCCGCCCCCTTTGGGACCCTTCAGTAGTACACACCCACGACGTCATTGGGGATTGAACCCAGGACCTACCAGTAACAAGGCGAGTTCGCAGACTATTCTGCCACTAGTCTGGAATTCAATGACAGTTGTTAGTTGACTGTGTTTTGTGATTTTGAGACGTATGGTTTTCTCCTAATTCCTTTAATTTTTACTCTAAAATGGATTTACCCACTTACTGTATTTTAATAGTCCGATCGTTTAACTTGAAATCACTAGTTAAGTAGTCTGCAATCTTCATTTGAGACGGCTACAAGATGATACATTTAGTCACAATACAAAAATAACAGATAATGTCAGACTATGTCACAGCCTATGGTGTCACTAACCACAGATGTCTGTGTTCTGTTTTCTGGATGAATTTGTGTAATATGGTGAGTAATACTGAAGTTAGGCTTAAGGTTCTACGTAAGGAAGACAAGAAAATCGATGAGATTGTAAGGCTACATTGATTGAGATGGCCAAGGCACGTACTACACATGCCTTCTTCTCCGAACAATGTTAACTGATATAAGATTAGGTTGGAAATCTAAACCTGGCATCAGTCGATTCAGTCTTTGACTGTTGGTTTGAAGTAACCATGTAGGAAGGTGTAGGCAGCTTGTCTTGGGGTCCTCGGGGTGACAAGGACCAGTCACTAGAGACTATTGATGATATGACTCAAGGTCGTTTCCAGTGACGCAGACGCATTCACTATTTGTGATTTCCCATATTCAGAGCTTAAAGATTTTGTATAATATCATAAGAAAACGTATAAACTGACTACATAGAATAATTGTACGCTTTATTTTCCTTTCGTGATTTTAGACTACTGATAATTCTAAGTTGAAAGATTTTGCCCGTGTCCTCTTTTTCGGTTTAAATGGTCGCCTGTTCTATATAACAGATTTTGGGTAAGTTGTAAATAAATTTCTTTCTTGTACTCTAAACAGCTTTTGTATTTATCTCCTTATAGAATGAATGATAGTAGTTGTCCCCTCTTCTTAACACAAAGATAACGTATTGAGAAAATATTCTAGCAGTATTCAAGCGTTAGATCCGCAGGGATTTGAGTGATTTCAATTTTGATACCGGATTGACTTCAGTAAGAAAATCACTAAAAACCAAGGGGTACAAGATAGCCGTGGCCTCCTTGTTCGGGACTCTCCAGCAGTACGCACTCATGACCTTCAGTCACTGTGAAAAGATCCGATGGTCTATCAATTCTAACTTCTGCCATTTTGCGATATATAGCGCTACCGCTAGTCAGTGTCATCCGTGGGTATCTGTCCTCACGCCCAGCTTGATGGACCCTGCTGATCACGACTTCCAGCCAGAAATTCATGCAACCCTCACCCTGTGGTTAGTGACTAGGTTCAGTCAGCGGCCTAGTCATGGGTGTGTGCTGATCAAGATTCCCAGGCAATGCAGAAACAACTGTCCACTACTCTTTGGTTTTCAATGGTTATCTAATTGAAATCAGTTCATCATCGATCTTGAAATTGATCAAATCCTCGCAAACCAATACTTGAGATATGAATCATTGGTTTAAGCACCGTCGTTCAACCACTTTGCCCTGAGTCTCTCTTCCTACTTCGAACCAAACAACTTGGTAGCACTTACACCATGTGTTTGATTCAATAGCCCGAAAAGTTAGTTCTAAGCAAGTGAGTTAACAGGAAAGGACCACTAGCTGTTAAGAACACTTGAAAGTAAAAGGGAGGCGATCTGCGTCATAATGTGGTTACTCTTTAAAAACCACTTAAAGCTACTGTTTGGTAAATAATTAATTTATTCATACGCATTCATATTCCTTGTCTTCCTAATTTTTCTCTCTGATATTATCGCCTGTTGTAATACGATAGATTAATGTAGACTGGCTTTCGTATTTTCGTTATATAGGCATATATATACATACTGTCATACTAGCGATCCAATAATCCATCAAGTACATCCCAGGATACTTAGATCTTTCGAGGAAGCTGTTGCACTATTGCAGCCATCGGGATGTCTACCAAAACGTACAGGCTCAAAGCAATGCGAAGTATTCTTCAAAGGTTATGTGACTTGTGGTACAAGTTTCGACCGGTCTTTTGTGGTAGTAGGAAACATTTCTGGTTGTCTTATACTTATCAAGATTCTGCAAGGTTGGTTTTTGCTTTTAATTTTGGTATTAATCATTGGTAGTGTACTGTAAACTAGAGTTCCTTCTGTCTTTATTAAATTTTTAGGCTATGTCTATATGAATAATGAGGTCACTTTTTGGGGAGGAAGTGTCTAACTGGCTTAAGCCACTGTGTCCCAAATTCCAGTCCCTTTTCATCTACTTCTCACATAATGTGTGGCTTGCAGCATGGTAACTTAGTTCAAACTAAGTGACTAATATGGTTTATTTATTTTTATAAGCTGTGTAGGCTAGGTTGACTTAATTCAAGTATTGACAAGTCATTTAAACTTTTTGACTGTGTTATCTATTCAAATCAAGTCAAAGCGTATCTTTCTAAGTGTTGTTGAGTGTATTTATATCTTCTAAGTTGTTACTTAAACGATGATATCAGTCTGGTCGTTGTAATCTGTTGAAAATTTCTCAGTAGATTAATGTCTTGATTAAAACACCTGCTTCATACTGGTTATTCTAAGCTATTGATCATGTCCATAAGTCTGATAATATTTTCAGCATACGAATTTCGTATGCATTCTCAGAAGATAAGACTCTTTTTTGTCAACATTCGATTGCCTTACTATCTTTATGTGTTTAATTTCTTCAGTAATTTGGAGTTCAAGGGTAGGTTTGTTTTTCTATTTTCCAGACAGTGGGTATTTAATTTTTTCGAATAATAATTTTCTGTTTTTAATTTAGACCCACCTTTTATGGAGCTATTGGATATTATAACTGTCAATGATAAAGTAATGAAAATTGTGTGGATTAGTTCGTCACATATAGCAACTGGACTTCCGAATGGCGATTCTGTGAGTTCAAATGTTTGTCTGAACTGCAGTAACTTTGAAGTTAGAAATCTCGAATTTTTAGAGTTTAGATGCTTATTACCTATAATACAGTGAGAGATGTGAGGCGGTTTTTAAATCAAATAAACAGTACAGGTTTGTCTGAAGTCTGGAATCACAATTAAGCTTAAAAAGTCCGCAATCTTGCCGGTAGAGTAAAAACATTTGTTAAATAAAATAGTCTTTGAAACAGATTAAAGACAGTGTATTGCAGTCGCTAAATAAGAAGCAAAGTAGTGAAATTGAATTGTATTCATCTGGTGAATGTGACGTCTGAAAATAATCATGATTCCAAAAACAGCTAAATGCCTCTTGCACACCTTGGCGTATTCAACATTCATTTCTGTGTACTTTAATTAGCTTCAGCAAAATGCTCTAGTCCCGTGTTTAATTTTTTGTGTCTTTTCATTTCTTCTGTTCCGAGTGGAACCATAGGACTACAAACTATGGAGTTTCAGTAGTGGTGGTATTCTCTCTTAAGGGGTGAGGTTGCTAGCCTCACACCTAACCTAACCTCTTTCTGGGGCTCACTGCTGGTCAGTGAACTAGACGAGGTTGGGGAGTTCGTCGACCGGGAATCAAATGCAGACCATATCCGTGGCTGGTGCTGATTCTACCATGGAACCACTAGTGCATCGTCCCCTCTTTGATGCACCTGTTTATTTCTCTGAAGTATCTGATTGACCTGAGATTATTCAGGTTTAGAAATAGCATATTACACAGACTACTAATTGGATTTGACTTTGATAACAGTAGCATTCGGAGGATTCCTTATTGAATTGTTATCAAACAAATGGTTTCGTTTTATATGGTAAATTTATAACTAAAAATTTTTTTGGCGTTTTTCCTACTGCTAATGAAAAGTATATCTAAATAATAACAATATCTTTATTCCAGACATTATTTATAAAATGTACAGAAATTTCAGAGGAGTTTATTGCATGATATTTTTCCTTCGTACAATATCTTCAAGTAAAATATTAATTGACAGTATATCCTGTGACACAATGGTCTCTGAGCTGAAGCACAAACCATTCCACTATGATATATCTGCTTTGTCTCCTTCAAGAAATCCACGATATCTAGTTGAAAGCCATTTGTAAGATGTTCAGAAGTACATTTTGAAACCCAAGGACATAACTGAAGAACAGTAATCTCATGTACTGGGATACGTTGCCAGCCACCATCAGATCATTACTCAGGTTTAGTAGGAACTTGCAAATCAGGAGCTTGTAAGCATTTTAAATACACACAAGAGTAGATAATACCAATAGAGGTCACATCTGAATCGATTAAAACAAACCGAACGAGAGGAAACTTATGCAATAGAGAGATGGGAGTTTTTAGTATCCCTAGTTTTAAGCAGACCGCCAATGTAAATGTCGAAGGTGTTTTTGTCAGTTTTCTTTGTGATTATGATCTTTTTTCTTTTATTGTCTCCAATCTCTCTTTTTTAAAGTTGGTTATCCGTTTGGTAAAAACAGAGAATACAATAAAATTCAGTAAAATATTTATTACTCTTCAAGTACCAGATAGTTCAAAAGGCATGAAATGGTTGAACACAGCATCTGAGTTAATCAAACATCATTCTATCGGTAATAACTCCGTTGATGATGACAGGATTCTAGTCACCGGTTCTCGTGATGGTGGGATTTTCTCATACATATTCAATGTAAGTGACTGTTTTACCTTTAATATTTCCTCTTCTCTACTGTACTGTTTAGACAGCTGTCTAAATAAGCAATGTGACAAACATAACAATAGTAGGTGTAAAATGAGGAGTAGAAAATTTCGTAACTGGACTAATTAACAACGTAAAACTTGGCATTATTATTGTTGTTATTATTCCTTTGAGTCCCGCGTGGGACATAGGGCTTCAACAGCACATTTCTTTTTCATCCTGTTCTCCACAACTCCTTTGTAGATGGCTCCACGACTGCCTATAAGCTTTCATCTCCTTCTCACACAATCTCTTGCATTTCACCCTCGGACGACAGCCCAACTCGTCGTTTGCCATTCAGATTCGTCTCAAGGGTTTGGAGTGTGATCATCTCAGCGTGTGTCCAATCCATCTCCATTTCTTTAAATTTATTTGTCGGGCAATAGATTGTATGTTGGTTCGTTCCCGGAATTCCTGGTTGTTTATCTAGCTTTCTGGCCGGCAATTCGATCTTCAGTATGGAGCGAAGGCAACAGCCTGTCGGAAATACTTTTGGTGATGCACTAAATCTCTCAACCTCACATAGTTTACTAGCTGGTCTTAAGTTGATGAAAAAGATGAAAGGTTAGATGTAGAACTATCGACCCCACCACGGAGTATCAACTCAATTGCTACAGGAACTTCAGAGCACAGAAATAATATTTAGAAAAAACGCAGCATTTTATTGAACAATAGTCCAGGTTAACACGCCTCACAATTGTGTATCTGTCGATTGTAAGATGACTATAGAGTCAAGTTTTTGTTGAGGTAAATGATAAAACAAGAAGGAAAAATGTAAAGTGATTTAACAAGATTTGACGCTACTAGTTAGTTGAAATTTGGGCATCTGCAGGACTGAGGCCGATTTTGAGTGATATTGCTTACAATCTCTAACTTCATACAACACTTTCTGACTCTGGATCAGCAAGCCTAAAACTTAACTCAGAATAAAACAATAAAGGTAGCTCACCTTTTACTCAAAACTGTGAATAAAATTCTTCATTATCCACATGGAAAGACGATGATAGTGAAAACCACATTAAACCCTGTCATATTCTCCGTTGTGAAATAAACGTGTTTCTAGATAATATAATACAATACACGAATTTCAATAGGTAATCGAATATTTAGCTGGTGGCACGAATACTATAAGTTAAAATCGTCTATATAGAAATTTTTTTATTCCTTCACGTTCCCAATGGAACATAGGGCTTCAAGTTAGAGGCTTGAAGTTCCTGTAGCAGTGTTTATTTTTACAGGATGGGGTTGCTAGTCTCATGCCCTTACCAGCTTTTATTACTTGTCTAGCGAGGTAAATGAGTGCGTCGGTGGCCGGAGATCGAACTCTGGACCGTGTGCATGGCCGGCGAGCGTCCTAACCACTGTACCACCGACGCACCTATATTGAAATAGTCTCTTCAAATTCTTCAAGATTTAATGCGTGTACATTTTATATCACAGATTATGGAATATATTCGACTTATTTCAACACTGTTGTTTGAATATGTTCTGTGTGTAATTGCTTACAAGCGTCGATTGAATTTAGGCATATGCTCTAGTCAATTCTTAGGGATCATCGAGAGTTTTCATCTCTTTCTGAAACTAAAGGTTTCGTCATTTTGGTGTTTATATATATATATATATATATGGTGAAATAATTAACACATTCTTTCCTCTTTTGCAAAGATTTCAGTTGATACCAATAAGCTGCACACTCCAGTATGGTTATTAAAGTCATGTCATCGACCTGGTGGTTGTATATCAATGCTTGTCGTTAAGCAGCATCCATATGTTAATCTTTTTACTTGTGGTCGAACTTACGGAGAAGTTAAGCATTGGTCTGTTCAATCCAATGGTGTATTATATCTTTTTGGAACAATTCTAAGATCTGAACATATGACATGGATTGATAGATTGTATCGTTCAGATGGGGATAAAATATATGCTTTAGGATTTCAGTCGGTAAGAAAGTTATTTTCTTTGTATTCTGTTTTGAACTAACCTGTGTTACTCCTGTAAACCATTGTAACAATAGAAGACAAGAGCCAGGCAACAGATCTTTTATTGAGAAAATCAAGAGATATGATTTTTATGTACATTATTTTCAGCGGAGAAGCAACGTCCCCTCATTGGTTGCTTTCTTGCTAAAGGTTATTCTGTACTGCTTGTGACCGTTTCTTACAAAGTTAAGCCATATATCTGCGAATTGTATTTGCACACGTTAATTCTGCTGTGATTGGTTGTTGAGTTCCTCAAGGTTAGTCTTTGTTATTGTTTTTTTCTCATGACCCCGATTTAGGACGTAAACAGTGACGCTGGCTGGCTGGCTGGATTCAACATAGAACTTGGCACCGAAGTGCAGCAGTTCGAGTTGCCACGTTCCAAAGAGCACACAAAGGTAGACAAGAAAATGAGTGAAGAGAATCAATAGAGTTTTGACAGGTAAAAGAGTGAAACAGAATGGGTAATGGTAGAAGGGAATATGAAAGATTACAGAGACTGAATACATCTGCGCTATTGACAACGATTTTGAGCCATGTCACCTAGTGTCTCCAGCCATTGATTCTTAGAGTCCCGAGGGCCCCAACCCAGAAGTCTGCATCTCCCTACCTGACTCAGTTTAACTGTCAGGGATTTGATGGATTGATGAGGCCATTTTTTTGTTTGGCCACCACTTACTCTTTTCCAACCTGCACCTATATCAGCTAGTAATGCCCGTCGAGGGAGGCGACGGCTAGGCATGCGCAGCACGTGACCTAACCATCTCAATCTATGTAACTTTATAGCCTCTTCGATTGATTTTCCCTCTTTGTCCAACACTCTACGCCTGACGTCAACATTACTTACCTTATTATACCACCTAACGCGAGAAAGAGATCCTAAACATCTGTGGTCAAAAACAGACAATCTCTTCATGTCTTCCGCTCTCAATGGCCTCGTCTCACCGCCATAGAGAAGGACGGAGCGAGCTGCTGAGCAGTACACACGTCCCTTGGTTGATAGCCGGATGTCACGCCTACGCCAGAGACGGTGTAAGCTAGCGAAAGCAGCCCGAGCTTTTTGGATCCGTGCTGAGATTTCGTCACCAATCAATCCGTTAGTGCTGATACAACTTCCCAAATAGATGAAGTGGTTAACATGTTCTATCACTTCACTCCCTATCACTAAGCTAGGAGTTGACATAGTTCAGTCCTGTACCAACATCTTATATTTTGCAGGGACGAATCGCATGCCAAACATACGAAGATTGCTGCTCAAGGTGTTCAGAAGACTCTGCATTTTGTCAGCGTCCTCCCCTAACAGGACTATGTCATCTGCATATTCTAAGTCCGTAAGACTATTCCCTGGAAACAAGTCGATTCCTAAGTCGTTAAGTTTAGTTAATGATACTTCCATTAGCATATCTATGATGAAGTTAAACAGGAAAGGGGAAAGTGGACATCCTTGACGGACACCACTGGTTGTTATCAATTCAGATGACAATTCCCCATAAGCCCTTACATGGCTACGTGAGTTTGAGTAGAGTGCCTTGATTAGTGCAATGTACTTTCTTGGCACTCCCTTCACAGTCAAACATAGCCATAGTACCTTTCTAACCACGGAGTCGAAGGCCGCCTTCAAGTCAAGAAATATTGCAATTGTTGGACGCCTAAAAGTGTGTCTATGTTCTAGGATCTGTCGGAGAGTGAAGATATGATCTATGCACCCTCTACCTGGCCTAAAGCCTGCTTGATTTTCCCTCGTTTGTTCCTCCCGAGTTCGGCTTAGTCTGTTCATGATTACTGAGCCTAGGATTTTAGAGACTATGCTCGTCAGGCTGATTCCTCTATGATTATCACATGAGGACTTATCTCCCTTCTTGAATATTGGTATAATAAGTGACTTACCCCAATCTGATGGAATCGTCTCTGATTCCCAGACGTTACCTAGTACCTTAGTTAAACTATATACTAGTATGTCACCCCCATATTTAAACACCTCCGGAATAATTCCGTCGGGTCCTGCCGCTTTGCCTCGTTTCAAATTACAGATAGCTTTTGTGACCTCACTTACAGACGGCGGGCCAGTGTCTATGTCCCATTCGGGTGTGTGCTAGATGGCGGGGAGGTTCAGTGTGGCTGTAGGTAAGTTAAATTGTTCCTCAAAGTGTTCAAGGCGTCTATCCGGAGAGCTAATTAAGGAGCCATTTTTCTCAGAAATAGTCTCACTTATGATTTGCCTTCTCCCACCCGTTTCCCTGATGAGTCTAAAGAGTTGCCTAGTGTTGCCTATCGCCGATGCTTTTTCCATCTCTTTCGCCTTTGTCAACCACCACTGTTCACGGTCCTTGCGGAGACTTTTCATAGATTTCCTTTTGTGCAGCTTTCGCTCCTCATTGAATTCGGAGCTCGCCGGAATAAGTCTTCTAGCATCTATCAGTTCGGATGAGGCAGTCGAAATCCAATGGTTTTTACTCACCTTTGTATTTACCTTATTCACAGCTTTATCTATGGCTGACTGAATATTCTTCCAGGCTTCTTCAGGGTGAGCGCAGCTGTCGAACTCAGATATGTGTTTAGCTAGTTCTTCCTCAAATAGGGACTTAGTTTCCTGATCGAGCTGGGGATGTGATGGGTTTACCGCTAGCTGTTTCCTACGTCCGTTCAGTCGTAAGCACACACGAGCGCGGACCAGTGCGTGATCGGTATCTACACACGTGTTCCAGAAGGAGCGACAACCTCCTACCCACCCACGCCAACGATAGCTTATTGCTATGTGGTCTATTTGTGTCCAGCGTTGGTTTGATGATGGGGGTCGCCAGGTCAGACAGTGCCTCTCCTTGTGTTTGAAGTTAGTGCTTACAAGAAACAAATGATCATCTGAACAGAACTGTAGGAGACGGTCACCGTTGTCGGTTCGCTGTCACGGAATTCCGTATGTGCCACCGACATTCTTCTCAGATTGACACAATTTCCCTACTTGAGCATTAAAGTCACCAGCTAAAACGACTATATCTGAGCGTTTAGCCTTTCGCAGCAAACTAGACAGCTTTTGGTAGAACTCATCCTTCGTTTCATCCGAACTGCAGTCAGTGGGGGCGTAGGCGGAGATTACGAAAAGGCATCGGCGAGTAGTGCAGTCCTTTCTCCTTTTCAGACGGACAGCACACATTCGGGTATCTATCGGGATCCAGTCAAGTAATGTCTTTTCTGCCCTAGTACTCAAAGCTATCCCAACACCAGCTAATCCTCGTGAGCTAGCCGTCGCATCTCCTGACACCCTCAAGGTTATTTTATTATTTTATTTAAACGCATTAAAACTTGGTACAATATGGCACCAAGAAGGATGCGCCACACAATAATAATAAAACAACATAGATGAAAAAAAAAGGAAGACAGGAAAAGAAAAAATATATATAAGTAGAGAACGAATAATGAACTTCATCTGGAAGGAAAACACTCATTCTTAACAGGTTCAAACAGTGTTCGTTAACTATCATCGGGAATGGAAGAAAGAAGGAAATCGCAACACATTCGCCATTGATTACGATTCTTGGCCATATCCGATAACGTTTCGAGCCATCGATTTGAGCTATCTCTCAGACCCCAACCAGGGAGTCGTGACACACCAACCGATGCTAATCTAGCACAAATATCCTTCATCCCACGACGCCACGTCATGGGCTGACCACCTCTCCGCCTTTTCCAACCCGTCCCAGGGCTAGCGAACAGAGACCTGTACGGAAGCCTCTGGGGTGACATTCGCAGCACATGTCCAAGCCACCGGAGCCGGTGTTTCCAGATGACGACATTCAATGAATGGTGATCTCCACTGTGTTCAAACACACGCCGCCGAACCTCAGAATTACTCACGCGATGACGCCATCGAACGCAAGCAATCCTGCGGAGACAGCGGTGATCGAACACGCAGAGTCGCCTCACATCCTCAGCTCGGAGAGGCCAGGTTTCACAGGCGTAGAGCAGCGCAGCCCGCACCGAAGCATTGTATACCCGACCTTTGACAGCCAGGCTAACGTCGCGACGGCGCCAGAGGTGGCTCAAGTTGATGTATGCCACCCTAGCTTTCATTATACGGTTGGAAATCTCATCCGTCACCCCTCCGCCAGCACTCACACAACTACCTAGGTACACAAACTTATCGACAACTTCAAGCGGTTCACCCGCAAGAGTGAGTGCAGGTACAGGCTCCTGCCAATCTTGTAACAGTACTTTGCACTTAGACGGTGCAAAGCACATACCATACTTACAGACACTGATCGCCAACTGATTGAGTGCGATTTGGGCAGCCTGCATGCTATCGCACAGTAAGACGATATCGTCTGCATACTCGAGGTCGAAAAGTCTATCTCCAGGTAGCAGATCTACACCACCTTCACGCACATCCTTCAGAGCTGACTCCAGAATGTCATCGATGGCAAAGTTAAAGAGAAATGGTGAGATTGGGCAACCCTGTCTAACCCCACTGTTGGTTGGGAACAGTGGTGATAGTTGGTTGTATGCCCTCACTCTACCTGAGGTGTTTCTGTATAGGGCTTTCAAGATGTTAACAAATTTCTCAGGTACACCTCTCTCTAACAGACAGTTCCAGAGCACAGTTCTGTCCAACGAGTCGAAGGCAGCCCTAATATCAAGAAACACAACGATCGTTGGCCTGCAATACGTGTGGCGGTGTTCCAACAACTGACGAAGGGTGAACACATGATCAATGCATCCACGACCTGAACGAAACCCAGCCTGCTCTTCGCGAATCAATCCTTCGCGTATTTTGCACAGTCTGCGAAGCATGACAGCAGCCAATATTTTAGACGCAACTGGTAACAGACTGATACCCCTATGGTTGTCACAGGAATTACGTCGACCCTTTTTAAAGATGGGGACGATAATGGCTTCGTTCCACATTGATGGTACGCTCTCTGTCTCCCACACCCTCCTGAACAACCCAGTTAGAGCCATTATGAGAGTCTCGCCACCATCTTTAAAAAGAGCCGGGGGTAATTTGTCTGGGCCGGGCGCCTTATGGCGTTTCAGAACTTGGAGTTCCTTACGGACCTCCGCTTCGGTGGGTGGGTCGGTACTAACCGACCAAGGAGCACTCGGGCTAATGATAGTAGACAATGAAGCTGGTGGCCAGCTGAACTGCTTCCCGAAGTGCTCTGCCCAGCGTTCCAGGCGTCTCTTCAGGCTGGTAATTGGAGTGCCATCTGCCTCACAGACTGTCTCGCTGACACCTTGTTTCTTGCTGCCGGTGGCTCGTATGAGTTGGAACAGCTTCCGACTGTTGCCAGATGCAGCAGCTGACTCCATCTCATACGCACGTTCTGACCACCAGGCTTCGCGGTCCTTACGTAAACACTGTCTAATCTTGCGCGTGAGCGCCTTTCGCTGATTGTTGTATTCACTGCCAGCCGGAATGGACCGGCGTTCATCCATGAGTTGCAAGGAACTCGCAGAAACCCAGTGGTTGTTAGCGGAGCATTCTTTCAAGCCGCAAGCGGCTACACTCGCCTTTTGCATGGCACCTTGCACATGAAGCCAGTGTTCATCTATACTACTTGGGGGGTTGCTGGCAAGCATTGTTTTCAACTCGTTCTGATATTTCAAAGAAGTAGCAGGTGCTACTAGTTTGCTCACATCAACGCTTAGACGACGGTTTTTACGAACCCCACCAAATCGCAAGACGAACTTGGCACACACTAACGCATGATCGGAGTCCAGGCATGTGCTCCAGAAGGAGCGACAGTCCTGTATGCATCCTCGCCACCGGAAACTGACCGCAATATGATCAATCTGGGTCCAAGCTTGCTTCGCAGAGGGAGGACGCCAGGTAGCGCTACGGCGATGGCTGTGCCGGAAGTTGGTGCTGGCTAGAAATAGGTTGTGATCCGCGCAAAGCTGCAGAAGACGGCCCCCATTATCTGACCTGCGACCATGTAGTCCCCACTGACCACCTAGACGACTCTCCTCTGAGCTTAGACGCCCGACCTGTGCATTCAAGTCCCCAGCTAGCACTACGATATCCCTCCGACCCGCCTGTTTCAACAGATCGCTCAGTTGGTAGTAAAACTCATCCTTCATTGCATCCGGGCTGCAATCTGTTGGTGCATAGGCAGAGACAACAAATAGACACCGCCTATCTGGCCTACTACTCCTTACTTTCGTATAACCTTCCAGCCTCACAGCACATAAACGACTGTTAATGGGAATCCAGTCGAGCAGTGCAGCTTCGGCTCTAGCGCTCAGTGCGACACCGACACCAGCTACGCCGGATGCTGATGCCACAGGGTCCCCGGATAAGCGCAGGTGGTACATACTACTAGAACTTCCAGATGGAGAGGACAGTCGAAGCACTTCACTGGGATCTTGAATGCGGGTCTCCGAAATGCAGCAGACATCGATAGCGAGGCTTTCCAAAGTTCTTGCCAACCCTGCCTGTTGTCCGATTTGCATCAGCGTCCGAACATTGTAGGTAGCCAGCTTGAACGCAGCACGCGGTTTCAGGATATCTGTGTTAGAAGTCACATTGGGGACAGCCATTTTGAGGACTACTCACTAACATCTCGAAACGACACAGATAGGCTAGGAATCCAAACAAAGGCGAAAGGCTGTCGAAGGTTAAGAAGTCAAGGTTAGGAAAGGTAAAATACAGGAAACTAAGTATAAAAATAAAAGTAAGGTTGGAAAGAGATATATCAACTGGGACATCATTACTGCTTGAGAGCATTGTTAAGAGCGCGCGATGAGTTTCACTGATAGTTCGTTGCTTCATTTAATTAATTGTGTGAGGGCTGAGATACTGCCCGGGCGCCCAAACCGAAGCAGGTGGTTTTCTTAAGGGACCACCCCCCGAGCCTTTGACTTGGAGTCTAATCCGCAAGGCAGCGGAGCAGCGTCAGGTGCTGCGTTCCCATGGTTGCCGGTGACCCATATGGGTTCGTACGCCATTTGATCCTATTGGATTCTGGAGCCCATGTACCCCATGGTAACTGCTTTTAGTCTAACCGCTATCCAAACAACCTTCCTGGCATGGTAGGACCTGCAGGGACATGAGTCCCAGCCAGTTTAGCTTGTTGGGTCACTGCGGCATTCAAGCCCGACCACCACGGCAAGGTAGCAGTTATCGGCCGGGCACCCTCAAGGTGAATTTTGAAGATTCATCCTGTTGGCCAGGTGGGGTTAGGTGAATAACCACACTTGGGTCTTGTATGCGTGTTTCTGAAACACAACATACATCAATGGCTCGGGATGCCAGAGTCTTGGCTAGTGATGCTTGTTGTCCTACTTGGCAAAGAGTCCTAACATTAAATGCCCCTATATGAAATTGGTGGCGTGGCTTTAGGAGACTATCGGTGGTGGTTTTTTGGCTTCCGTCGTTTTCAGTGAACACAGAGTGAAGAGGAAGTGAAGAGCCATTAAGTAGAGGAGTTGCATTAGTAGAAGGAAGGCAAGATAATAGAGATGAAGATGAAGACAAAGATGAGTGAGGATTAGAGAGGTTTCGCGTGCACTTCGGATTGTGAGGGCGGTTGTTATTTCCCGGCTGCCCACACCGTGGAAGTTGGTTGCGTGACCGCAGAGCCCAGGGGACAACTGCTTGAGGCCGGTCACACACGGCCTGTTTTTGTTTGTTCTTTTTTATTTGGTGTGTCTCAGTAGCGTATTTATCACTTCTGCCCTGTGACATGGCAGCAGGAAGCGCGGTCGTTGTTAATCCGGGCCCTGACCGATCCGGCATGATATTTTGTGATTTATTTGAAATCAAAGGATTGGATTGGGTAGCTGCTTTTTGTCTAACCGCTATCCAAACAACCTTTCTGGCATGGTAGGACCTACAGGAACATAAGTTCCAGCCAGTGTAGCTCGTTGGGTCATTGCGATATGCAAGCCCGACCACCACGTCAAGGTAGCAGCTTTCGGTCGGGTAAACAGTGACGTAAATTGTTGTCTACAATTTTGTCTTGCAGATAGCTCTCACCACACCATTAGTTCTAGCTAATATGTAAATGAACAAAACTCGAGAGGTATTTGCTATTCCACTGTATGATATCAATGCACTGAATAATACGTAGAATACTGAAACTGTAATCTTGTGGAATGTCAGTTTCACAGCGTAATTCAGTAATGCAAGCATTCATTATCATGAGAGAACTAAAAATTTTTAGATCTAAGCATTTCACTCTTCGCAGATTTTTTAAAGAAAGTCCATTATTCATTTCCTGCATAACACGTTTATCAAAGAAGAAATTAGATAAAAAACAATAACTTCCGAAAATTGTGTATAAACAAACGAATCATGCATGAAACTCATCTTATTTCTTTACTTCTAAAATAAGTTGAACTGATGAATAATACGGCTTAATAATTCTGTTTTATCTCTTCAACCCCACCGATAGCTGCTACCTTGATGTGGTGGTCAGGGTTGCATATGTCAATGACCCAACGAGCTACACTGGTTGAAACCAACTTTCCTGCAGGTCCTACCATGTCACAAAGGTTGTTTGGATAGTAATTAGACTAAAAGCAGTTACCGTCATGATATGAATTGTTTATGCCATATTGAGTGGGGAGGTCTGCGGATGAATAAGTACTACGGGGGAACAGAGATGTAGCAGCAATCAAAAGTTTCCCTTGGATAACCAGCATGCCTGCCACCTATGATAACTTTCGGTCCTGAAGAGGTGGGGGTTAGAAATTTGTACATCCCGACTTACCTTAAGGTGGTCCGCAGCCTGCTATAGGGTCTTAATACGGACTCAACTCCAAACACCAATTCAAACAGGCCATGTGTAATCGACCTCAAATAGTTTTCCCCTGCTATCTGCGGCTGCACAACACTAATTCTGTTTCTATTTCAGGTACCCCAAGGAAAAATCAACTTTCACGGTGTAAACAGCCGGAAAGTAACAACCACCCACACACCTCTAGATGAACACAAAGCTCTCCACATTTTTATTCCTTCGACATGTAGATGTTGTCAGTCTTTAGGCGCAGCTATAGGTCGTGTGTGTGTATGCGTTCCTTTAACTAACTATGACCGTTTGACACATTTTAACTAATGAATAAATGCTAGTAGCTTGTGAAGCCCAGTGTCTAAGATTTTTTTCTGATGTTTCGCTTCCTAATATCTGTAAGTGTTGGTTTGCAGGGGTTTGATTAGTTTCAAGTCAGGTCACGGATTGACATCACTTAGAGAACTACTGAAAATCTGGGAGTAATGGACTCATAGTCTCTAGCCTGTAACACTGCTCTCTATTTTTAATTTCTCCAGCCTCCTGTTCTACTGATTTTTGTTTGATTTCTCGTTAAATTCTTTCAGAGTTATCATCACAATGTTTATACTAAAAGCCTTTCAGGCTGCTTTTTGTATTTTTTTTGTGTAGACAGTTGTATTCGGTCATTGAAAGCCCTCATCAGACTTGTACTCCTTATGAGACCTAGATAATTTTGTTTGGTTTTCATGATGCATTGAATATATTCTAACAGTCGGTGTTTTTACATTTCAGAGTAACATATACGTATACCGACATTTAACTGTTTCTACGGAAAGTATATTTTCTATATTTGTTTCATGTCTTCCGTTTTGTAGAAATATTTCAAAGCAATTTCGCTAAATCATGAATGCTTAAAAGATGACAATCACCTGAATTGGTCATTGATGTGTCCAGTTCGTTCAGGTGGTTGTTTTCTTGTTGACTGTGCTGGTGGAAATCATTACTGGGATTGGTTTTTACCCAAGAGCATAACAATAACAAAGACCACTACTACAAATGAAATCGAAACACCTAAAGATTCTGTTCGTGATTATCAAGGTGATAGTGAAAATATGACGAAGTGTTTTTCTCCTTTGTTTGCAAGTATTAATCGAGGTAGAGTATTAATTCATTCGGATGTGCAGAATTGTATATCATGTGAACAAAATAAGTGCTGTCCAACACCTATCTATTTACGTGTAAGTCTAAATGTTTTGATAGTTATTGGAAGTTATTTAGTTCTGTGTTCTCATCTCTCTTCTGTTGACAGTGTTAGAATTGTTGATAAGCTAAGGATTATGAGTGAACTAGAATTTAGGCTCATTTATTCTAATGTATTTAGATAGCTTTTAAACCTGTTTTATGCTAACAGTCCTTTGTGCATCCACTTCGATACTGATGATTGTATTATATATTCCTTACACGTTAAGTGCATCACAATGCATATACTTGTGCAGAATTGTTAAAGGCATGGAAAAATATTAACCGTTAAATCTCTCATGCCTTGTCCTTTAAATCCGGTAATTTAGAAATAATTTGATATTTAATCTGAAGAGAGTCCATTTTCACAAACATAAAATTATGAACTTTCTTATCAAATTAATGTATGTCTAATTACCAGACCAAATTTATTCAGCATTCAGAGGAAAAAGAATAACAGAAAAAGTGTTATTCAACAACAACTTGAAATGCCTTGTACTTGGCAATCAGCCACACCTGTTGTGTGTGAGGGTTAGTAATACACTACCCTGGCTGTCCAAACCTCAGTAGATGGAGTGGGTTTCGAACCATCGAGCAGTGAGTCATTGTTGCACATTTAGCATTGCCGTTTAATCTACTTAATGACTACTGCCGGAGCATCAACCAAAAGCAGAAACCCGACCACAATATCCATCTTTCGTCAACTAAACTGTTTGTTATTATTATTCATTCCTTGAGTTCCGAGTGGAATGTAGGGTTTCAGCGGTACATCTTGATTGCACTCTTCTCGGCAGTCGCTTACAAATAACTCCACAACTACCCACAAACTTTCGTTTCCTTCTATATTCTCTTCCAAACCACTTTCGGCCGCTCATCTCGTCATTTCCCTCAATGGTCTGGCGCATAATATCACCCAATACGGTGTCTTCAGCAAATATCCGATCAATCTGCATTGCTGTCTGCATATTTGTTGGGCATCGGGTTGCTGACTAGTTCACTGAACTGCAAGAGTTCTTTGATGCTTATCTTTTCTAGTCATCTGATTTTCAGTGTCGAGCTATGGGAGCAGCTGTTGGTGAAAGTCTGCAGTAACCTGTTGTCAGTGCTTTTGGTGACAAGTTCGCTAAGCTTCTTCACCAATATAAAAACACTGACTTGGAACTATTGTTACGAATTCGGATGCTGTTACTTGTATTACGTGTTGTAGACGTCCACTGTAGGCGTCCATTGAACGCCTATCTTGCCTTTTCGATCCTGGTTTGGACAACCAGATTCGAAGTGCATATGGTTTAAACGATGCCTTCCGTCTAAGTGAAAAAGATGGCTTCCTTGAGATTTCTCCTGTTGATGGTGATTGATTGATTTCTGCTATTGTTGGTTCGTCTTTCCTATTTCACCTGAAGTACTGCCTGTCTTCCCTGTTTCATCCACTACATTTTAGAGTTTTTAAGATATGACACATAAATCATCTGCGAAATCCAAGTCTTCTAGGATCTTTTTGTCTGTCTGTGTTGTTTCCTACCCACCGCCAATATTATTTTACTTACTCTTAAGTTCATCCTAAATTTTTATTTGACCTGTTTTAATGCATTTAATTTTTCTGTCAAATTAATTTTAGCGCTCACTTCATGGTGAGACAATTAACAGCTGTTTGTTACTCAACAAATTTGATCTATCCAATAAGAAGGATTATTTTCAAGGTCAGTTGTGTATTTTTAAAAAATAAAAGTATTCAAAATTCATTGCATGTCAGAAGTACAAAGGCATTAATAATAATAAGTTTGATCTATGTGTTGATCAATTAATAATACCTATGAAATATGCCTTGAGCTCATATTTGGCCATTACAGCTAATTTTGTTTAGTAGTCAGTTTCAAGGGAAAAGTTTATTGCTTAAGCTAAGGTAGGGTAAATGATGTTGCTCAGAGTCAATAACACAGACACACAGATGCTTCCAAACTGCATCTTTTTTAAAATGGTAGGAATCTTATGCAGGAAAATGTAAATACAAGTGATTATCTTTTTTTTTATTCCTTCACGTTCCCAGTGGAACATAAGGCTTCAAGCTAGAGGCTTGAAGTTTCTGCAACAGTGGTGATTATTTTTACAGGATGGGGTTGCTGGCCTCGTGCCTAACCTTTCCTCCTTACCAGCTTTTATTACTGGCTTAGCGAGGTAAATGAGTGCGTCGGTGGCCGGGGATCGAACCCCGGACCATGTGCATGGTCGGCGAGCGTCCTAACCACTGTGCCACTGACGCACAAGTGATTATCTAGGTGATATGAGTTTTCAATGAATTAATTTACATAATTTTCCAATTGCCCAACCAAAACACATGCAAAAATAGAATCTGTATATCCATCTAGGCAGCATCAGTTCATAGGCTGTTTACAATTTCTATTTTATTTGTAGACAATTCCAATAATGAAGAAGTCGAATTGTATTGTTTAGCTGGTGGAGAGGATACTACTTTATCGTCGTGGCGAATTTCTTTACCGGTAGTTCAAAATGATACGAATTCGAGTGGTAAGTTGTTTGTTCTAAAACTACCTTGATATGCCTAATCTTTACTTCATCAGTGGGACAGTTGGCTACTTATTAGTATTTACTTATGGTAAACTCACTAATTGTAGAAATGATTGTGATTGTAATGACTTGTAGTTAAGCATCACTTGTGTCAATTTATCATAGGCTGGTGTTTTGGTAGTAGTCATGTGAATATTAAACGCTGGAGAAAGCCAGTCAATAGGAAAATGTGAACCTCGATTTCAGGTTCACATTCACCAACAAAATACCCCGGCCACTTTGTGGGATTCTAGGTCCACAGTGGGAAAACTGCATCCCGCAATCCCAAAGTCAAAGATTTTACTATTGACATTTTAAAACTACGAATGGCACCATTTAAAACTGGAATATTTTTGGAGTGTAAACCATGACTGGATGCAGAGATAAAAAAATACTTCATGGGTGACTAATCTTCACTCCACTCATGCCGTTTATTAGGTTTTCCTAATGTGCTTTGCATTAAGGAGCACTTTGTGTTAATGAAATCTTGTGTATCTGTTGCATGATAGGAGACTATGTTCTACTATAGTTCATCCAAGTAGAATTTGAGCGTCAAGTTAGCGGACCATTGAAAACCAGGGAGTACTGGACAGTTGTTCCGTCCTAGTTCGGGACTATTCAGCAGCATACACTTGTGACTTCACCGGGGATGGTAGCAAGGATCTCCAGTTCACGAGACGAGCCTGTTTACCGCATAGCCACTGATACGGAATCTGACCATCGGTGAATTTTAACTTCTGTCAATTTGTTATTTGAAGGATTTTGTTTTTCTGTCTCATCGTGCAAATTGGATGGTTAACAATTCATTTCCATTGAACTTCTTTCATATTTTCATTCAGAACGCTTTTTATATAATCACTGTGAAAAGTCAACCTTATCCAAGTGTAAAACTTCTCAAATTAACTGAATAGATCTCATAGTAGGTGAAGAATCATTATTCACTAATCGATATTCATGTTTAATATGTGTTTATTTATTATCGTTCAAATAGTCCATTGGCTCAGAAATACATTTAGTACAAGGATGGTGAGAGCTGGCTGCTAGCCAAAGTTGGTAGACAGTAATTGACGTCATTGTTTATGTCCTTAATATTGATGGTGAGAAAATGAGAACGAAGACTTTGCGTAGGCGGATGCGGTTAGCATATGGATGATCTGACACAGCCACAAAGAGATGCAAGAAAGATGTATTCTACTAACAATAATCTACAATAATGTACATTAAAATCTATAAATATGTCTGTTTCTTAATAAACGATCTGTTGCGCTTGTCTGCTGTTGTTACACAAGTACTGTATTATTTATTCTTTTTACTGAACCTTATCCCTAACAATCGATCTTATATTATTTTGTTTCTCTTGCACACAGAGCCAATATTCAATTCTCTTTTTCACCATCGTGGTCACATATCGAACATTCGTTGTATAACATTGCCTGTCATCTATACTAATAACAGAAGTTCAGATGAGGTAGTTATTCCTAGACAGTACATTGTTAGTGCTGGTGGCCGTGGTCAAATTTGTTTATGGCGACTTCTATCACCAGATGAGACAGTGAAGACAACAGAAGAAAAGTGTCAAGGATCAATTTCTCTAGGTTTCCTAGGTTCCAAGAAAATTCGCCACGATGAATGTTATCTAGTTGATGATCCTTCTGCTTATGATAATAACAATAATAATAATAATAATGTTAGTGATCCAGCTCATGATTATGATGAAAAAGCTTCCAGGTGTAAAAAAGTTGTTGTATCCAGTGATCTACGTATTATGGCTGTGGTTTGTGTTCAGATTACTCGAGAAGAATGTCAAATGATTGATGATTTACTGGTTATTGCCGGTTGTTCTGATGGATATGTTCGGTAATTCATTTGAATTTCGTAGTTTTAAACTGTTTTTTGCCAGTTCAAACCTGTGTAGACAGACGTTGGGTATTTCAACTGTCAGTGTTTGACACTATGTGGAATGTGTTATTATGCTGTATCAATCCTTGTTGTTCTTGTCTTAAACTTAGTAAGAAGAAAAATTGGCAACAACATAAACTATTTAAAATCATATACTACTGATTACTGAAGTCAACTGAATACCTAACACAAAACTGTCTGTTTCCCGGAGCAGTTCATTTTGGGTTCAGCTGCATAAAACATTCTACACAACTCTTTAAAAATTTACATGCTTATTCAACTGGTAGTTTGGTGTATATATTCTATCTCTCGTGTTAAGCGGTATAATATGGTGATCAGTATCGAGGGTAGGCGTATGGTGCTAGGTATGGAAGGGGGAGTTAATTGACAAGACTGTGAAGGTACATCGATTGAGATGGCTAGGATACATTCATGTGTCATGCGTATGCGTAGCCGCCGCTTCCCTCGACGAACAATGTTTACTGACATAGGATTATTAGGTTGGAAAAGAGTTAGGGCTGGTCAAATCAAAACTTGAAATCAATCGGTGAAGTCTTTGAATGCTGGTTTGATCCACATAGAGTTGTGTAGACTGTCCTACTGGAGTCTTCTGGACGCTAAGAATCAATGAATAACTAAAGACTGTTAGTGACATGGCTAAAAACTGTTCTCAATGCCGCAGGTACCTTCACTCTTTGTAGTCTCCCAGATTCATTAAGTCCTTTCATTTTACTATCCTTTCTCTCCTACATTCCTATTTTTTTAAATATCAATATCTCCTATTCTTGATTTTATGTATTGTAACTAATCCGAATTTACCTACCATTTCTAACAGACTGATTCATATCGAAGTTCCGCCAGGAAATACTGTCGGGTATCCGAAATTTTCAGAAATTGGTCGAATCAACCCGGTGTCATCGGCAAACAATTCGGAGAATCACAGTAGTTGTTGTCTGGACTTAAATATTGTGAGCATTACTTCCAGCCAGATTTGTTTTGCTATGTCGAACTCTCGAGGAGAGGTGCATGGCTGGATTCTACCTTGGTGCCCTTTGAATAATAATACTACTGACAATAATGAATGCGTCGGTAACATTGGAAACAATGACTGTTACAGTGATGTTGATTGTGTATTCGGTCTCTGTCTAAATTCTGCCTTCCATTGGGTTTTAAACTGCACACCAATTCCACCTTTTCATATACCAAACCAATTAGCTTTCAATTGTATAACTTCACTGAGTTTTGAGACTCCTTTTTCCAGTAGTAATACAAAATCGACAATCATTGCAGTTGGCGCCGATGATGGTAGTGTCCGTGTGGCTGTTGTTCCTGTAAATTTTGATCGAAATTCAAAATCACCCTTGATGCACCCACAATGGTCTGTCTCCTGTGTGAAACACTATAGCAGTGTTGTGAAATTGGCTACATGTCCGCATTTCGAATCGTGTGACCAGTATTTGTATCATTTTTTAAGTGTAGCCTCAGATCAACGTTTAATACTTTGGTGTTTGAAAACAAATTCTCAGGAATCAGTGAACAACTTTCAGTTAAATGCAATAAAGTGTATTCTGTTATGTGGTTTGGGTGAACCCCATAGCTTATCAATAAGCTGTCAGCACCATCAAGTTAGAAGTGGAAATAAGAAGAATCATACTACTTATGCTCTTGTTGTGGGAACTGGTGCTCATTTAATTCGTGTGTCTTAAGCAAACTGCATAAAATGACTTATTTTTGTATATGATTTTGTACATTCTATTTGTAATATATGATTTGAGCTATATTCTCCTTCTCCATTCCTTCATGTTCCGCGTGGAACATAGGAATTCAAGCTATGAAGTTTCAGTAGGGGTGGTGTAATTGTTATAGAGTAGATTTGGTAGCCTCAAATCCGGGGAGTACAACGCAGCCGTTTCGTCCTAGTTTGGGACTCTTTAGTAGTACTCACCCATGATCATATCGGGGGGCGAACTCAGGGCCTTCGAGTTATGAGGCGGATCCGTTGACCATTCAACCACTAGCATGAAACTCAATGTCCCATCAATTCTAACTTCTGTCACTTCGCGATTTTCAGCACTATCCCGAGCCAGTATCATCGGTGAGTATTTATTAGTGCGTCAGATGGGAGTCGAAGCCAGACTTCCTGCGTGGCTAAGAAGCATTTTTTTCTTTGAAATATCGACGCATGGATTTCAGCTTAGTAGTTTTCTAATGAGGATTTTCACCATAGTTCTCACCAATTTACGATATTTTTCGTAAGATTGTCATCTAGGTCAAAGATGGCTGTGTTTAACGATTGGCTATTTTGCATAAGGCGTTGTTCAAAATGTCAAGATTCAACTGTACCAACCGATTATATATGTGTTAAGCATAAGTATGATCTGTAGGTTGGCAAAAATTGACATAGAAACCCTATAAAACTAATATGAATTATTCTCGGTGGTTGCTATTGGAAAGGCAGAGTAAACTGAAATCAGAAAACAAAAGCCAGTGCACTTCTGTAACTTGCATTTCCCCTGATAATTATTAAAAATAAAAGTATTATGTGTATATTTATTTATACATCTTCAAGGGGGTTATTATAGTTTGAGTTATTGAAAGTTTAATATAGCATCAAATTTGGTAAAGTTTGAAAAACAGTCATTAAAAAATATGAACTAATTAATGGTAGCTGTAGAATACATTTCTAGGATTTCCGTGTGAAACATAGTGACACTGATCTTTTTTTCTGATATTCGTGACTTTTTTTCATGTGAAATGATATAAGCATATGTTAGTATCGAGGATACATTGTATTGTATAATTGTGGCGCGTGCTACTGATAAAATTTATAAGTAGTATATAGATGCGGATGTAAGTATGTATATCATCTGCAAGAATATCGAATAGTGGGGAAGTGGATTTAATGGCGAAGAGAAATAATGCACGATGTCTGTGAAATAACATGAAGAGAATGAACTTATCAGTGGCTGTGAGACCTGACCATTGAGAGTGGAAGACATGAAAAGGCTAGCTGTCTTTGATCATAGGTGCCTGTGTTCTATCTCCCGTGTGAAATGGTATAATAGGGTGAGCAATATTGAGGTTAGGCGTCGAGTGGTAGGTAAGGAGGGGAAATCAATCGACGAGGCTGTGAAACTACATTGACTGAGATGGTTAGGACATGTGCTACGTATGCCTAGTCATCGCATTCCTCGACGGGCAATGTTAGCTGACATAGGATCAGGTTAGAAAAGAGCCAGTGGTGGTCAAACCGAAACATGGCCTCATCAATGAATGAAATCCACAACAGTTAGTTTAAGTCACGTAGGAAGGTGTAGACTTCCTGGTTGGGGTCCTCGGGACGGTAGAAACCAATGGCTGGAGACAATTGGTGATATGGCTGGCTAAAATCGTTCTCAATGGCTGGTGCAGATGCATCCACTCCTTGTGACTTATAATACCCAATAAAACTATATTGTTCTTCCATATCACTATTCTTTTTGCCTCATATCTCTGTTTACTGTCTCTATTTTGCATTTCTCTTTACTTTCTTCTCTTGCTTTGTGTGCTGCATGGTGTGGCGACTTGAACTGCTGCACATCGGTGCAAAGCTCCACGTTGAAACCATTCATCGGCGGGAAACAAAAGGCTAGCAACAACATCAATAAGACATGAAAATGAGGATTTATATTTGTGAATTTGTTTTAAGGTTATTGGTAAACTAATTCCCATGACGCAGAGTTGATCCAGCTATTCATCAATAGACTAGAGACAGATAATCATAAAGAGCGTAGTATACTTCATGTTTTATACCCTTAGCCAAGTACTTTTGTAGTGTATGTGTATTAAAATGTGATAGCGAGTGGAAATATTGTGGTGCGATAATACTAGTTTAGGTGATTATGAATCACAGCAGATTAATTAGAAACATGAATGAATAGAGAATATTCATGAGAAAGTGAAATGGACACTAGTCAACAGATAATAAGGCCAATGTTTATAGATAGATGAAAGACAATAGGAAAAGAGAAATGTGAATATGCGAATTTGTTAAATCAAATGCAATAGGATAAGAAAATAAGGTGAGTGATCTGTCATTAATAAAATAAAATGTTAGAATATGATAACATAAGGTGAAATAAAACAACATGGAGTAAGGAAGATATGAAGTTTTGTGAATCACATGACAGAATTTAGTCCAAGGTTAGGGAAAATGGTCGTGCAAACTCTGGCTTTATATCTTCCGCTATGCAAAATAAGCGTCTTCCCTCACTTTTTAGCAAATCTTGTGGACGATGTTGAAGGATGCATCCTAAGCTACATGGTTGTTATCTACTCTTTCAAGTATGATGTGTGTAGGCATCCCCATATTCATCTTATATAAATCTATGTAATTACAAATAAAACACCATTTCGAAGTATTGGTTTTGTAGGAAATTTTGTTTGATTGGTTGGGGGATTTCATGATGAGCTGGCATCAGTTAGAGAACCATTGGGAAACCCCGGTGGGGGCGTACTGCCGAAGAGTCCCAAACTAGGGCGAAACAGTCGTCCAGTACTCCCAGGTTCCCCAATAGTTCTCTAACTGACGTCAGCTCATGATGAAATCCTCCAAACAATCAAAACACCATTTCATTTAAGGGATCATTATTACACAACGAGCATACATCAGGTAACAACACAGTTTTCCCGGTGACACTAATATTATTAGTCCAGTCAGTGTGAGGAATAACTTCTTCTTCTATGGTTCGAGCAGCACTCGTATCCACTTGGCGACGTATTGATAAAGTGTACCTACCATCTCTAAAATGGTACCAAGTGATAGTCTAGATCTGTCATTTTTCGGTCGACCATAGGGTTGAAGAATTATGGATCCAGAGTTTCTTAACTTCTTATAACTATGACACCTGCTCTTTGCATGAAAATAAGATTTAGCTTTAGTGTTTATTAGTGTATGTTGCTGCATATTTTCTGTACGCGTTAAGTAGAAGCAAAGATAAAGGGAGGCAATGAGGTGTGTACAATAAGACGTTGAATGAGAAGATAAAAAATAAGATGTTACAATCAGGAAGATAAGGTATGCAACTGATTCTAATTTACATAACCTACAGTTTAACCATTGGTTCATAATAAATGTGGACCTCACCTAGGCAAACTACGCGGATGAATTCAGTAGCTTCTAGTTTCATGTGGAATATTCAACTTAATTCCATTGTCATTACCATAATACTTCAAGGTGGACTGTTATACGACGCATTTTCCAGTTAATTCAGAAGACCTTTGTTCATAATATTTTCTTATGTAAGAGTGGACATCTAACTTCTATACTACTCAAATGATGGTTTCACTAAACACAACAACAAAGGTTAAATGTTTACAGGCTTTCAACTTTTAGTGATCAAGTTTCATAGCCATACAGGAGGACATGACACTGCTGCATAACACACTCTCAGATACTGTCAAAGCAAGAATCTTATAACTGTCAAGTGTACGTTGAAACACAATAGTGTATTATCAGATTATTTCACTCTTGACATTCAGCTCTGCATTATAATAAGGTTTCTATTTGTACTTAATTTAGCTTTCGTCTCAGTGGTTCATTCAAGATATCGTCAAAGAATACATTGTTGATTGCCATCCGTCTGCATATCTAGCTGTCATTACTACTAGTCGCAGAATATTAAAATATATCTACTTTATCAAAACAAAATGATAAAAGTGATATCACTTTTGGAAGTGTAGTGAGAGCTTACTTGATTGAATCAAACTGTTTGCAGTGCTGAAATCGATGTAGACATCAAATGTAGCTGTAACTGAAGTCCACTAGTTGACTTTTTCATTCCTTGCATTCCGAATGGGATTCAAGTCTTAAGTTTCAATAGGGCGATATTGTTTTCACTGAACTGGACTCCTAGTCTCATACTCAAACTTCCGTCTATTCCGGGATTACTCGGCTAGTGAACTAGGCGGTTTATTAGTGTGTCAGTCGGGTTTCGAACCCGGATCGTGTACGTAACTGGCGAGCATTCTACCATCGACGTCATCGTTTGATTTTGCAGTACGGACATTGATGCAAAAGTAACAGTATCGCAAGAGAATAGTTTTAAAAGTAGGAAACGGATCACAAAATTAAATTGTGATCTGGACGAAAATAAAAGTTGATTATATACTTTGTTATGTGTAGACGTTAAGCTTCGTCTTATAGGCAAGCGGGGTGTCCATGGTTTCTTCCGCAAAGTTGAAAACGAAGGGTATGTGAAAATAGTCGAATGGTTATTACTTGGAATTCCTAATCACATTTTCTACTTATATCCATTTAAGTATCTATCCATCCTAATTCAGAAAAACAACTGAATAGATAGGTGTATAGAGGGGGATAGATGAGAAAGAGCTTGTGTTATAAAGTCTGTTAATCGAACACTATTCACATATATTTCTTAAATTCCATTGCAGCTAATGCATCAAGTATTATTCTAAAGTGTAATAAAAATACTTATGTTCCTTTATGATTTATCTATTGAGAGTAATTAGTGTGCATATTTAAAAGCCATCAGTTATTATGGAAAGGAATGTGAATACGGCAGAAGTGAACAAAAATGATGAATTTTAGAGATTTAATTTGATGTTATTAAATTCTCTTAGCTAGGTGGTTTAATTGCCCTTATGGACAACAGTTTCAGCTCTGAACTGAGTATGATGTCACACTAACAGCTTTTCATACGCGTGCTTTCATAAGTGAGCTTGAACAGAGCAAGAACAAACAATGGAGTGGAAGAACATAGATCCCTTTTTTCTTT